GAATATCTGTTCTGGGGCTGGGAAGATAGCTTAGTGGTAGAGAGCTTGCCTTGCATGCCTGAGGCCCTGGGTTTGATTCCTCAGCACCACATAAGCAAAAAGAAAAAAGCTGGAGTGACGCTGTGGCTCAGGTGGTAGAGCACTAGCCTTGAGCTGAAGAGCTGAGGGACAGCACCCAGGCCCAGAGTTCAGGCCCCAGACCAGACCCAAAAAAAAGAGTCAGAAGTAGAGCTGAGCCTAAAGTGTTAGAGCACCAGGCTTAAGCCAAAAAAGGGACACTGAGTTCAAGCTCTAGTATAGGCACTCATAATTTGTGATTTATAAGATGTCAGAACATCAATATTATTAAATGTTTAAAGGAAGTTGATTCCAACGCTCATGGGTGACTGAGGGATTCATGATTCAGTGGTGGAAATACCTGCAGATATAGAGAAGTATCAAGGGAACCAAAATTAGAAGTGGAGCCTGAATTGGTACAATCTCCACACAAAACTAACAGAGGTAGAGTGGAGTTGATTCATATACATGAGTGAAGAAAATGGCTTCTGGTGGAAGACTCTGTGAAAATTGTTGAAGACAACAACGGAGTAATATATAAACTTATTTGATAAAGTGGCCAAGTTTGAAAGGACTGATTTGAAAAGAAGTTCATCTACGGGTAAATGTTATCCAAGAGCACCATGTGCTACAAAGAAATCTTTCATAAAAGAGTCACATGATGGCTGGGAAGGTGGCTCACTGGTAGAGTGCTTGCCTTGCATGCATAAGGTCCTGGGTTCAATTCCTCAGCACCACATAAGCAGAAAAGGCTGCAAGTAGTGCAGTGGCTCAAGTAGTAAAACACTAGCCTTGAGCTGAAGAGCTGAGGGACAGCGCTCAGGCCCAGAGTTCAGGCCCACAACTGACCAAAAAAAAAAAGAGTCACATGATGCAGCAAACTATTTCTTAAGAGAGTGCCACAGCTATCCCAACCTTCAGAAACCACCACCACCACCGTATCACTGAGGTAAGAACCCAACTCCATCAGAAAAGAACCTTGGGAGGGAGGGATGGGCATAGTGTGGGTGTGGGTGTGCGTGCACTAGTTCTAGAGCTTGAACTCTGGGCACTGTCTATGAGCTTCTTTGCTCAAGGCTAGCACTCTATCCCTTGAATCACAGTACCACTTTTTGGTAGGTAGAGAGTCTCATGGACTTTCCTGTCTAAGCTGGCTTTGAACCATAAGCCTCAGATCCTAGTCTTCTAAGTAGTTAGGATTACAGGCATGAACCACCAGCACCTGGCCACAATAATAATGTATTTTTAATTTAAGGTATATACCTTTTTTAAAAACATTATACAATTTAATAGTATAAACACTACTAGTTAGAGGAATGGCTCAAGTTGATAGCCTGTTGAACACTCTCAAAGCTTGAGTTCAAGTCCTAGTATCACCAAAAACAGTTTAAACACAACTTTCATAGGCATTTGGAAACAAGACATTATAGCCTTATTAGAATCATTTTATTATCACCCAAATCTATAGTGTCTCCAAGGCATACCTGTGTGCTAAGTGCAAAAATATGGTTCATATAATAACTGAATGTTGGCTGGGAAGTTGGCTCAGTGGTAGAGTGCTTGCCTCGCATGCCTGAGGCCCTGGGTTCAATTCCTCAGCACCACATAAGCAGAAAAAAGCTGGAAATGGTGCTCAAGGGGTAGAGCGCTAGCCTTGAGCTGAGGGACAGCTCCCAGGCCCAGAGTTCAGACCCCACCACCGGACCCAAAAAAAATAATAATAATAATTGAATGTTGAGGTAACGAGCTTACAATGGTAGGAGAAATGGAAAACAAGAAATTGTACACACACACACAAAAATTATATCACTAAACCCAAAAGAAAACTTTCAAATGATGGAAAACATGCTGTAATTCCTACTTAAAAAAAAAACAAAAACCTATAAACATGTATTTGAAATACTTGCATACAGAAGAAAGTTGGAAATGGTACACTCCAAACTATGGAGGTGACATTTGGAAATAAAAGAGAAAAAGTCTTATTTTCATTGTTTAGAATTTTTGACTTTTTTTTAAAGTGTGTACTTGTATTGTTTTTATAATATAAATAACAAAAGGCTAAAATAAGAAACAAAATAACTTCCTAGGATACAGACTAGAGTTCTTAACTTTGCTTGTTTTTGTAGCTTTAATTAGCATTTGAAACAGGAATCAAAAGGTAACTAATCTGCTTCTATTATATGAAAGCTATCAGAATAGTCTAGTTGTATTTAAGAAACTCTATAAGCTGAATTTAAGAAACTAAAAAGTCAAACTTTTGGGGAAAAAAATTCTAATATGCACCAAAATAAATCTTCTGCAGCAACTGCATTTTGATAATTTTTTAAATTATAAATATTAATGGATACTTATAGTTTATTCAGCACAGATCAAAAAGAAAAAAGTCATTTTATCCCCAGTGTCTTCTGTAATTTCCTTATATAAAACAATGTATTTTCCTTATATAAAACAATGTAATTTCCTTATATAAAACATTTCAAATGTTCCTACATAGATCTTGGGTTTTGTGTGTGTGCATAAAAGAGAACTATGTAAAATTACAGCTGGGTGGTAGTGGCTCACACCTGTAATCCTAGCTACTCAGGAGGCCGAGATCTAAGGATTGCAATTCAAAGCCAGACGAGGCAGAAAAGTCTGTGAGACTCTTAACTTTAATTAACAACCAAAAAACCAGAAGTGGAGTTGTGACTCAAAGTGGTAGAACACAAGCCTTGAGCACAACAGAGCTCAGGGACAGTGCCTACACCCTGAGTTCAAGCCCTATAACTGACAAAAAATAATAAATATATTACTTATGTCTATATATAGATATATATATAGATATATAGATATATAAGTATCTTGCTACTTACTCATCAGGACATTTTTTTTAGACATGTTTACCTAGTTGTAAACTCTCCACCCCCTTTTTTTTGGTGGTACTGAAGTTTGAACTCAGGGCCTTATGTTTGGTAGGTAGGTTCTCTACTACTTGAGCCACTATCCCAGACCTTTTCACTTTCTTTTTTTTTTTTTTTAAAGTAATCTTTTTTTTAGTTTTGGGTTTTTTTGTTTGTTTGTTTGTTTTGTGTGTGTCCAGTCATGGGGCCTGAACTCTGGGCTTGGGCACTGTCCCTCAGCTCTTCAGCTCAAGACTAGCACTCTACCACTTGAGCCACAGCGCCACTTCCAGGTTTTTTCTTTTTGCTTATATGGTGCTGAGGAATCGAACCGAGGGCCTCGAGCATGCAAGGCAAGCGCTCTACCACTGAGCCACCTTCCCAGCCCCTCATTATTTTTTAAATAAGGTCTTGCTTTTTGCTTGGACTAGCCTGGAAAGAGATTCAACTATTTATAGTTTCTAAGTAGCTGGGATGACAGACCCAAGCTTCAACACTCAAGCTTTTTTCCATCGGTTAAGAGGAATGTCTCACAACATCTTGCTGAAACTGCAATCCTCCAAATCTCCACCTCCCCAAGTTAACTAGGATTACAGGCATAAGCCAGTATGCCCAGATCCATTTACTGTTTTATCTACATGAAATAGTTTTGAGTGTCTCATTTATGAGCTTTTTATTAGATAGAAAATATAACAGAATATAAAATTTACTCCAAAACAGTTGAGCAGATAGTGATATAAATACAATAGCCAGGTGTCCTAGCTACTCAGAAGGCTGAGATCTGAGGTTCATGGTTCAAAACCAGTCCAGGCAGAAAAGTCACTGAGTCTCTTACCTCCAGTTAACCAGCAAAAAAATGTATCTGGAGCTATATTTCAAGTGGTAGAGTGCTAGCCTTGAATGTAAAAGCTAAGGGACAATGGCCTGCACTGGGACAAACCCCCAATACTGATACGAAAACAGAAACAAAATTTAACAACCACCTGGTTACCACAGGATAGCAATTTTATCTTAAATTTTGTTGTTTCTTTTTATTTTTTTGGTTTTGTTTTTACAATGCATCTTTCTAAGTCAAAAATCTATCCTCAAGTTTATTTATCAGCAGTCAAACAAAACTATATACTACATGTTTCCAGGCCAGTGCCCCCGAGAAATACCCAGTGTCTATAGGGGTGTCCCCCCTCCCAATTCAACAGTGGGCTGAGTCAGATTCTAAACATTGCTTCAAATAGTTCACAGACTAATTAGATAAAATAAACTATTAAATCATGGTATATCCACCACCATCTTGAGAAATTTTGGTCCTTAAGATTTGGTCCAATTTTTTTTGTCCAGTCTTACTTTTAAGAAATACAGGATTTGAGCCAAAGAACAAAAACTATATCCCAAAGATCTTAACATGTAAGGAAATAGTAATAAACTTCAATTTCTTAAAAATTTACTCATTCTTTTCTATCATCTTTTATCCTAGCTTAAATCAATGTATTTTTTCATTGGAGTACCATTCTTTAGACAGTGACAACTCATTAAGTACAATCTGAGCTCATTAAGTCCTCAGAAAGAACTAGCTCTTGTCACCAGCTAGTCTTGGCCTCAAACAATCTAGATTAAAGAAATTATGACATGTAACAGAAACACCACACCTCTAACAACTATTTCTATCACCCAACTCATTCTAATGCCACCCAGCACAATCTACTCACCAAACCCATTTTTTTGGATTGAAAAACAAAATTACTAAACAAAAGTTGAAAAACTTGACCACTGTGGTGTTTATGCATTGCTCTTTTTATACTTTTTTAGAAATAGACCTGTCTATGAAAAGCCAATGATGAAAATACATTCAGATTAACAACATCCTATCTTTAAAATTGTCCACTGTTCCAAAAGGGTTTTTTTTTGTTTTGTCTCTACACTGCCATGAAATATTATTTCATGCTCTAATACTATTAGACCAAAGAAAAATATAACATGAACCTTTTCAGAAACACATTTTCATTTAATATGACACAATGAGGTTATTAATTTTTCTGACCACTATTGCCAATATTCATTCAAACCTACCTCTAATTCTTTAATTTTTTCTTCTGCTATTTTCTGTTTCTCTAACAGCTGGTTGTGAATTACCTCCTTGGATTGAAGAATAAACCTATAAAAGAAAGTTGAAAATTAAGCTACATATTCATCAAAATCAATAGGTATATGCTACAAACTTCACTATGAGAAAATTGATATCTCAACTCAAGATAAAAGAAAAATATACTGTTAATGTGAAAAACTTAGGAAACCACTACAGTCTGTAAGCCTTCTTTGTGGAAAACAAATAATGACTTGAAAGTGCTTTTTATTTCTAATTAAAGAAGGGAACCAGGCTTCAAGTAGATTCATTAAAAAAATAAAGTCATAAAAATATTTTAGGAGAAAATCAGCATTAAAAAAATTCTGTAACTTTTTTCATTTATCTAACTTCACTTTTATTCAGACTTTTCTAAATAGTATTTGTAAATTGAAGCTTTTCTTTTTTTTAATTTTCTGGTAACAGCAGTTAACTCATGACCTTTGAAAGTTACAATTAAGTACTGTGTTAGGATCAATGCATTAGTGTTTATATGAGCTCCTCACACAAAAATCACTGTATAAGCCTATTATTATTATTTCCAGAGTGTGTAATACCTCTGAAAAGCTCAAAATGCACAAATGGAAAATTTCATTTTTTTCCATTTTATAATCACGGACATTATTTACCAGATGAGGGCAGAAATATTGCAGAAGCTTTCAAAGTTAACACTGAATCTGTTTTGAGGCTTTATGTTCATTACTCTATTGCAGGGAATGGAAGAACAAACTGTTTTGTTTTAAGTAAATGAACTATAATTATTTCCCTTCAATTAGAACCAAGGGGAAACCCCAATTATTTAGACCTCTTTCAGGACCACCTAACCAGGCCAAAAAATTTTTCAAGTAAAGATTATCACTAATCAAACAAACTATTTCTTCTTTTTACAGTAGAATTCAACAGTAGAGAACTAAACATTATCCCTTAACAAGAAAGCACATTTAAAGTAACAATATGTAATTTCTTCTCTCTAGCCAACAGAAACAACACTGTACCCAAGTGACATCTCAGCAAAAGGCTCTGTTACCATAAAACACAAGACCAAAAAGAACAAGCTATGTTCTGATACCTAAGAGGAAACTTCCTTCTTCATGAATATACTTTGTCATTATCTATTAATATAATCTGATAAACCTCTCTTTTTCACTCCATGAATTACTGAGCCACATTTCTTATATGGCCAGCCAAGCTAATTTAACTGATTATCTTAATCTTTGGTAGAAACTTTAACTTTTCTAAGAATTTTACAAAAATTATATGCTAGGAAGATTGCCCATATTGCAAAGTATTAATTAAATCTATATCTTTTCCTATATACAACCTTCATGTCAAAAATGTTCCTACTTACTAGTTCCAAGAGACAAGTACTATTTTGGATAAGACTGTGGTGCACAAAATATTTTTCTCAGAACTAAGTCATGCCAGATTTGAGAAGAGTTGTTTTTGAACTGAATTAGGTCTTGGTGACACCATGTAAGAAACATTATAAAACAAGGTCCAAGAGTTGCCAAATAATATCATCACATGTATAATTTTATTAAGAAAGTCTTTTAGTCATATAAGCAATTTCCAAAGTGAAATATATCTTTTTAACTAGCATTGATTGCTGGCTAATAAGTAGTATTCTCAAATAATAGGTTATCAGACATCATGTTTATTAGTGTCTGAGAAAATTTCAAAGCTAAGATTAGAGGTCAAGTCATTACTTATGTGTCCTTTAAAAAGAAAGTATTTGAACAGATACTAAATCCCTTGAGCAGAAAATAAAATTACTAGAAAGCAAGAACACTCAACAACAAAAACATGTTTTTCCATGGCCACACATCCCTGAGGTAACTACATTGGATTGTGCCAACTTCAAAGGTCAGAGGCTGGCCAACCAACTACTATAAGCTTAAAACATCTCAGCTATGAAAGTTTTAAAAAACAAGGATGAGTACCACAGTGTAACCACAAATGTTTACCTCAAAAAGCAGTTACATAGTCAAAATTCAAACACAATTTATATAAAATTTGGTTAAGTCCTCCATTTTAAAAAAATACAGAGATTTTTAAGAGCTGCAAGAAATACCTAGACTTCTAAAAAATCTTTTTTAAACACCTTATGTTGTTTAAAAAGGCAGTAAAGTGGGGTGCTGGTGGCTCACACCCGTAATCCTAGCTACTCAGGAGGCTAAGATCTGAGGATCACTATACAAAGCCAGCCAGGGCAGGAAAGTCTGTGAGACTCTTATCTCCAATAAACCACTAGAAAACTGGAAGTGGCACTGTGGCTCAAGTGGCAGAGCACTAGCCTTGAGCTGAAGAGCTGAGGGACATGCCCAGGCCCAAAGTTCAAGCCACACAACCAACAAAAAAAAAAAAATTAAAATTAAATTAAAAGACAGTAAATTATAAGATACTATCTGGAGAAAATATAGTCTTATTTTCATAAAGGAATATTAGATACAATGTTTCTCAATGTAGAGAATCTCAGAGATACTGCCTGATTATAGGTAAGGTAACAAAAAGGAAGATAAAAGATTCTGGGATTCAAAATGTGCCACAATGGAAAAATGAATCAAGAAAAGTATTCTCCAGTGTCACGTGGAATGCATATGTGCTTAATACCCAGGATTATATAACCAAGATTAGAGTCAATACTCTGTAAAAGGCCTCCATTTGCACCTGCAAATTTATGCTCTATGGCCCTTCACTGTCAACTCTCAAAACCTTGTAACTTGCTGTTATTACATCCTCACTTAATCGTAATTATGCTAGCTGAACAATACACTTCTCTGATGGCTTAGATTTCATTACGTGAGAAACATCAGAAGCTATGTTCTACATCATCCTACAAGCTAGTACATGATTTCTACTTTCTTTTTGTGTATGTGCAGGTACTAGGGCTTGAGCTCAGTACTTTGGCATTCTTACAAGGCTTTCTTGCTCACCATTGGTGATCTATCACTTGAACCCTGAATTCAGCCCAACTGTTTGCTAGTTAATTGGTGACAGAATCTTTTGGACTTTTCTGCCCAAACTGGCTTAAGTCAAGATCATCTGATCTTAGCTTCCTGAGTAGCTAAGACTAATAAGCATGAGCCTCCAGACCCCAGCAAATTTCACTTTCTTATACATGAGCATAAATCAAAAGTGCTGTTCACCTGCCCAAAACACAATCCAGAACCAATGTTTTTTGGGTATACTTCCAAAGTATGGTCATCTGAACACATGTTACTCAGAATAAGAAAAAACAGTTTTTCTTAGGGCTGAAGTGGCTTAGACTGCCAATCTAGTAAACACCAGACTCTATTTCCAACCCAGTACTGCCAAAATAAATAAATGAATAAAAATAAAAACAAAACAAAGAGAAACAAAAATAAATATGCTTTCCATAGTGCGCACTAAGTGTGAAACATATAGGATGTCTGACAATATATCCTAGTGGCACTTAAACTTCCGAACAGCCACAAATGAAATAACACAAAAAGAATGAGTAAGAATGAACTAGTCTTGCTTCTTTGCCTCACTCCTCTGGACCTAAAAAACACCTGCAAGGCTGGGAAGGTTGTTTAGTGGTAGAGTGCTTGCCTAGCATGCATGAAGCCCTGGATTTGATTCCTTAGTACCACATAAACAGGAAAAACAACAAAAACAGAAGTGGCTCAAGAAAACTTTCTTGCAGAAGCCAGGCACTGTAATCCTAGCTACTCAGGAGGTTGAGATCTGAGGATCATGGTTCAAAGCCAGCCTGGGCAGGAAAGTCCATGAGACTCTTATTTCCAGGAACTACTAGAAAACTGGAAGTGGAGCTGTGGCTGAAAGTGGTAGAGGGCTAGCCTCGCACAAAAAGAGCTCAGGGCCGGGCACTGGTGGCTCATCTAGCTATTCTACTCCCAAGTATATAATCAAATTATTCACAATAGCTGAGACATGAACTCAGACTCAGTACCTATCAACAAATGCATGCCAGGTATGTAATATAATGTATAAATGGAATATGTATACATAGTGTAAAAATTTCTAGTCATAAAAGAGGATGAAATTCTATCCTGTGCCAGATAGATGGGACTAGAGGTCATTATATCAAGTACAATAGAACATAGTAAAACAAATACTCATATGGAAGTTTAAAAAAAAAAAAAAAAAAGCAGGGCGCCAGCATCTCCTGCCTCCTGTAATCCTATAATCCTAGCTACTCTAGAGGCACAGATATGAGTGAGGATCCAAGTTCAAATCCAGCCTGGACAGGAAAGTCCTTGAGACTCTTCTCTCCAATTACCAAAAGCTAGAAATGAAGCTGTGGCTCAAAGCATTAAGAGTGCTATCCGTGAGCACAAAAGCTCAGGGACAACAGCACCTAGGCCCTGAGCTCAAGCCCCAGGACTGTAAAGCTAAAAATAGACAGTGACTACAGACACAGTGAAAAGTTATACAGGGTTGAAAAGTGAAAAAACTTAATTGGACTCAAACTGTACACTATATACATGCATGCAAATATACTGTACTTGATACGTTAATTTTTATATTAAAGCAAACTAAACAGATATACAACTAATGATGGCAACTTACAAAGAAATGAAAAGAATTAGAAATAGTATAAATAAGATGAATATAAACAGTACCAATTGAAATGAATTTGTTCTATTGTAACAGTAAGAAATAGTTTGGAGCTTTTTTTAATAGTTGGTAGGAACACGTTATTCACGGTATGAGTGCTTCTGAGTAACCGTGTAACTCAAATTTGATTCCAAATAAACTATTTTCCTAAGAAAGCAACAAAAACTATTTTCCTTTAAAAAAAGAAATACAGGGGTCATTCTTAGCCACTTCAACATAACCCATTTTCAGCCTACTGACAGTGTATTCTTTTCTAATAAACTTCCTTAAAAAGAAAAAAATATATAAGGAAAAAGAAAGATGAAGAGTGAATAATTTTGAAATATAGTGCAACTTTGTATGAAGATGGTATAAAGAACCTCAATGAAAGTTGTTCATCACTGACTGGGAGCTCAATGAAAGAGAAAACAATAAAAGGCAATATATACACA